CGAAGTATTGCTAGACAAGCTTTGTTTGCAGGTATACCGGACGAATGCAGTTCCGCTTGCAGACATCCATTTACCCTCAAGAAAGACTGCATGGAATATACTCCAGCTCTGGCGAAATGCTACTCATTGCTGCTATCGAATATTCCGCATGCTGTTACGAATTTGGAGGTTGCATCCAGAGATTCGTCTTCAGTTCTCTTTTCCTGGGATGTACCGGAGCAACCTGTTGATCAGTACCAAGTAACACTGGACAAAGGCACCAGCGTATTCAGGCAGGTTGGTTTCCACATTTACGATTATCTTGTTATTATCTTTAGGATGCAAATCTGCTGCTTATACTGCTCTCTCGATTAGTTGCCATTTCACTGTGACCGTACCTTCGCACCGTAGAAGCAGTTGGCCTTTTTTTGCTCCTGAGAAATGCATTGCCATCACCGTTTTTTCCTCAAAAAGAACAAGGAAGGAAAGCAAAAGAATTGATTGTCAGGATGACGAATAGGGTGAATGAGAGTTGATGCGGTATTACAGCAATTTCTTTTGCTTTCTTTCGTCATTCTTCCAGAGAGAACCAAAAAAAAAAAAACAGTAAAACTCACATTCTTTCCACAACTAACTTGTGGTTATCTGTGCTTTTTGGTAACGGCCAATATCGGTAATCGATATACCCTAACTTAACCGTACAAGAACTATTGGTGGCTGAATTTTAGCTAAAAAGGCATCCTAAGCTAAACATGGCCAAGTGCAAAATTAATTTAAGAAGCAAAGGTTTTTTTTCTTTGTTGTTTCTCAGGATTTACTGGAAAAAAGGCATTTATTGCATTTGCATACACAATTCGAATGGCTGCTGCGTGCCAAGAGTTGACTCACATGCTGGCGCTCACTGCTAACTTAAATTCTGAACGGACATGCTGGCTGCAGTAATTGCTTTTTCTCTCCGAGAAGCCACGTTCCGTCTTTTTTGCCTTATTGTGCTCCAGTTCTCGAGGCAGTTTTTCGTCTTGATCAGGCAGATGTCCCTCATCTTAAACGGGTGATCGCTGATCACTCGCCGTTACCTTAGATAATGCAGCACTTAACGTGGCTTTGGGGTTATTTCTCTACTTTCAGATTAATGTTACAACAAATTCTGCTCGCTTCAGTGAGCTGGAACCAAATACAAATTATACGGCATACGTGACAACATTCAATAAATATGGTTCAAGTCCTCCGTCATTCAAAATTTCCTTCGAAACACTTCCTGACAATGGTACGTTAGAAGAAAATTTGACTGTTTCATTGCAGTTTGTTTGTACCTCCCATCATCACCAACAGTTTATGTTCAGAGCACAGCGAAAGGCCACTGCCACCATCAGCACTGCACGTTGCATGGAATCACGGAAGACGCGTGAACGTCACGTGGGACTGGAGTGCAATGCGCTATAATGGACAAAAAATTACTGAACCTGTAACATACGTTGTTAATTATGTGCCTGCTGGAAATGCATCTTCCTGGACATCGGTAAATTTTGGGCAATTTTTTAC